AGTAAAAGGCCCTTTTGCTAAGACGTTATCAATAGCATCACCTTCCAAGCTCAAACTAATTGTAAAAACATCTCCACAGTGGCAGACAATGCCTAATTACAGAAATCTTTGTGGGCTTGCCCAGTGTCTATGCAAAAGGAGGTGGAACAGCTTTTCATGTCAGGCTGGGCCTTGCCAGGCAGTGGGAAATTCCTTGCATCCTTGCCTGCAATGGAAAAGTTCCCTTCACACCTTTGGGTCTTTCACACCCACTCCATGGACCTCAGCAGCCTGTGATCTGGGAAAGCTGTGGAGGACACCCCACATGCTTATGACTAAACATCTGTGTGGGAGACCCAGAAGAAGCTCCTAGTTCATGGCTTTGAAGCAGCTCAGCTCTGGCAGTTGTGTATTTTGGGGATGTGAATCAGCATTTGGAAGATCTTCCTATGTGTCTCATATCCTCTCTGTACATCTGAATTTCCAGTAAATATAAATACATCTCAACAATAAAAACTCAAACCAAAGTGGATATTTGGTGGTGCCTGGACTCTCATCCCTCCTCTAATGAGGATAAACCAATGTGTAGCCTGAAGAAGGAGCCCAGAACATTGGTCCCATATCAGGAAGTTGGGATTCAGGATCCACTGAAGGAATTTCAAGTCATGCAGAAAATTGGCCTCTTTTGTCAATCCTCCAACAGTGTTCTAAGTATAAGGGCCCAGAGACTTGCTTCTAAAATGAAAATTGACGTGATAGCAAAAGTGAAAATAGGTAGTTGGTGATTAAAGCCTCAAAAGTCCTAAACTGTTACACTTCTTATCTCCACCCACCCCCCGAACTGCTAAAAGCACAATCAGTCTGGAAGTTTAGCTGGAGCTAGACAGTGACTGGAGGTTACATGGGTGGGTGGGTGTGTTCATATTTGTGCAGAGGCATGGGGTGCCAACGGTCATTTCCAACAGCTCAGTAGAAACCTTGTGGAGTCTTCTCTTTGCTAAGTCCAGCCACATAGCTCTTGTATAAGAGCCAGCAGTCTTTCTCACGTCCCATTTTGTGCACCAAACCAAATGTTACCAGGAAAGCTCAGTGATTCTCGTAACTTGTATAGAGAAGTAGGAGTGTGGAATCAGGTAGAAGGATGAGATTCACAGGAATTGGGAGAAAACAGAGGAGTGGGTCCTTTTTTCCAGTTATACATCCTGCTTCAGTAACCAAAGGTTGGAACAACAACCAAGAGTTACTAACTGGGTGTCTCCAATTTCAAGAAGCACACCACCACCTAGTTTTCTCTTGAGAAGTGCTTTCCTCTTCCCTCCTCTTCCCCTGCTCACATGACCACTTTGCAAATAAAATTTCTTTGTCTGCAATAAGATAATTTTAAAAGTATGACTTTGAGATCCAGCTTCTGTATCCACCTCCTGAATGTGATCAACTGGTATTGAGTAGAAACTACACATTTTCTCTGTCCTCACATACATTTGCTGTTCCTGGGAAGACCCAAGCCAGATGGAGTCAATGTTTGTGACCCTAGTTTCAGCCAGTATGACTATGTGATGAGTTGGGCCTTGGCCTGCCTGGGCTCAAAAGGCTTTGCCCTTCCGGGTGAATACATTGGGAGTGGATATGTTGGGAACAAGACAGGCTTAGGCTCCACCCACCTCCAACATCATGAGGTGGGTGGAACTAGGGGAATGCAATGTAGTCATTTTTTTTCATGAGTTGGGTTTCTGTGTATTGTGTGTGTGTGTGTGTGTGATTTAATTGCACTCAATGTGTGTGTGTGATTCTATTAGATCATTAAAGAGAAATTGGTGTAATCATTTCCAAATTTTCTATTTTTCCCTCCTGTTTTAGGTCATGGTTAAATGATATTCAGAGAAGCTATACCAGGCCTCCCAACCATCCTAGTACTTAAGGATGGGTCCTGGACCCCTGAGACCAAACCAGGGTGTCAATGTGGCACACACTCCAAGGTTTCTTTCCTGATGGTTCTGATAGTTCTGAAATGAGGTCCATCTCACTGATTCAAGCAAGAGGGAACCCTTTCAATGTTCATTGGTCATCATGGTTGACCTTAGAATCTCCATTCACCCAGATATTTGGTGTCATCATTTAGCTGGGGTAGTTATTCAATCTGTTGTCTCCTCCTTTCTCTTGGATGGTCCAGATGTGCTTTCCAGGCCTCAGTGGGCTGCTATCTCCAGGTGAATCCAGGCCAGTTGTCTAATACTCCTTTTCAACTGAGGAGGACCAGTTCTTACAAGACCTGAGCCAACTGATCCTGCTCCAGTGGAGTCCCACCTTCAGCACTCACTGAGTTAGCACCACCATGCAGGCATGTAAAGTATCCAAGCCAGGTGACCTGAGGCCTGCCACATGCTCCAGTACCAGGACTTGCAGACCAAGGACCCATTGCACTGACCAGCCAAGGACTCAGGCCAGGCAACAGAAACTACCACACAGCTGCTGGTGTTCATAAACTGGGCTCATCATACAGGTGTGCCCAAGAGCCCAGACAAGGCTACCAGGACCCCACTGGAACTCCTGCATGCAGGCATCATGAGTCCAGCACCAACATCCCTCTGACTGCCATGGCTTGCCTCAACTCATTTTCCACCAGCATGTGTTGCAGCCTGGCTCAGTCTAGACTTTCCCCAATTCCACTTCATGTTGCTGTCTGCTATCGTCTTTTCTAATACACTCCATCTGGAAATTTTGCCAGAGCTAGGTAGTTGCTGGAGATTATGTGGGTACGTGGGTGTGTTCCTGTTTTTTCATTGGCATGTGGTACTAAGGTCATATCCACAGGTTTAGTACAAAACATGTGGAGTCTTCTCATTGCTAAGTCTACCCTCCTAGGTCTTGTATAATAGCCAAAATTCTTTTTCAGGTACCATATTTTGCACCAAACCAAATGTTACTAGGAAAACTCAATGAATCTTTCCTTTAACATAGTATAGAAACAGAAAATGGAAACCAGTTGCAGACCAAACTTCTACTTGTTAATGGACCAGTTGAACTTGGAAGAGGGGAGGAGGAAAGCAATTCCCAGGAGGGGCTGAGATATCTAATCCCTTTTGAAAGGAGAGAGGAAATGACATCATAGTTTATTTTAAATCCTCTTATCCCACAGGAAGCCTGATGAAATGCCATTTGAGAAAAAACATGACTCTAATGTTCCTGAGAACAACCTCGAGAGTGAGAAAAATCTCAGTCATCTTGACAAGATCCACATTTGTCAGCAGTCCTTTGAACACAATGGGAAAGAGAAAACTTTCAGCGGGAAGAAGATAGTCCTTACGTGTGAGCAAGTTTATAGCAAAGACCTATGGAATCAGCAACCTGTCAGTATGGGAGAAGAAATTCATGTTGGCTACTATAAATCTTGCCTTAGCACCAAACAGAGAACTGACACAGGAGGAAATAATTTGTATGTGTCCAATGAATGTAAAGAAAACATGAACCAGAAGTCAGAACTCATTAGAGATCAGATCCTTGAAAGTGCGGAGAATCTGTATAAATGCACTGAGCATGGAAAAGCCTTTAAGCAGCAGTTATCTCTCATTAGGCATCAAAGAATTGACACTGGGGGAAATCCTTATGAATGCAGTGAGTGTGGAAAAACTTTTTCTCGTAAGTCAAACATGAGAGAACATCAGAGAATCCACACTGGGGAGAAACCTTATGAATGCAGTGAGTGTGGAAAAACTTTTTCTCGTAAGTCAAACATGAGAGAACATCAGAGAATCCACACTGGGGAAAAACCTTATGAATGCAGTGAGTGTGGTAAATGCTTTTCTTGTAAGTCATACCTCTTTGTACATCAGAGAATCCACACTGGGGAAAAACCTTATAAATGTAGTGAGTGTGGAAAAGCATTTACCAACCTGTCAGGCCTGATTCATCATCAGAGAATCCACACTGGGGAAAAACCTTATGAATGTAGTGAGTGTGGAAAAGCTTTTACTCGTAAGTCACACCTCATTAAGCATCAGAGAATCCACACTGGGGTAAAACCTTATGAAAGCAGTGAGTGTGGAAAAGACTTTTGTCAAAAGCCACACCTGTTTAGACATCAGAGGGTCCACACAGGATAGAAATTTTCTTTTTCTTTTTTTTTTTCTAGACTAGCCATAGAGACTTTTTCTCTTTTTATTGATTTGATTGTCTATATTTTAATTTGTATAATCAAAAATATTTGAGATATTAAAATACTGCCCAAACTATTTTTATTGATACTGTTGAACTTTACATTATCATGAAAGGAACAGAAACTCCAGATAAAGAAAATAAAGCAAGTTTAGATACTTAGAGCATGCAAAAGATTCAATGATAACACATTAAATTAATAATATGCTAAGGGTTTCCAATTTGCCCACTATGGGTTCTTCATATTCTATCACAAAAATAGTAAACATCAATTTGAAATCTGGTGACTGGACCTGATTCCTGATTTCTATATAAGAGAGTCTATATCCCTTGCATTTATATGATTTTCGCTTTTGTGGCTGTGTTACAGTGCTTGTTGAGAAATTTATCAGTATAAATTGACTGCCCAGACTGTAGTAAAAAATGGTTGGAAATGCGTTCTTCTATATTCGTCTGCTAACTTACACAGGCTACTGAATCAACAATACAGGCCAGGGAGGGACCAAAATTCCTTACCATTCATGTTCACTTTTCTCATGAAATCTTCAAATATAACTCTAATTAAAAAAACAAAGTTCTTGAGACAAACTTTCAGAATAATTTATAGAAGCAGATTTAAATAGCCAATAATCAAGCTAACACTAAAAAATACACATGTTATTTTTTTCCACTTTCTTGATATTAAAATAAAGTGGCCTCAGCAGCATCCTGAAATGCCATTAGGAGTCCCTCAAGCACAAGGGACAAATCCAGACAGAGACAGGAACTGTCTCTTTATTCACACACTGTGACACGTTGAAGGTCAAGGTGGAATACGAGGGATTCACGTTAATGGTTTGTTTGTTTGTCACTTTAACTCTGTGTGGGGATGAACTACTTGAAGTTTCAGCAAGAGATTTCAGAGCAAGTGTGGCCATTCACAGGATGGCCAATACTGAATTTTAGCCTGGCAGGTGAAATGGCTCCCACAGAGTGCTACTGACCCTTTAACAGGTAGGTGAGTCCATAGTGGAGAGAGTCAAGATGCTCCTGTCGTTGGTATAGAAAGGATCCAAGGCACTCCATGATCTGCTGAGGGGGGCGGGACTACATCTTCCTGTAACTCATCCCAGCATTCTTCTAACAGATGTGCACGTTGCCTCTCCTTCTGGGAAACAGCACAGGGAGTCCACGCACTTGATACTTGAATTTGTTTCAGTAAGCTGTGCCTTTTCAGTACTTGTAGGATGGAGCTGTCAGTCAAATACCTTCTTTACGATATCAAGAAAGAGACATGTGACAACCTTAAGAATTATGGCAAACCAAGCAGAGCCACTTGACAGGAGCTGAATAAATACAAAGTACATATTCTGGGAGCCCAAATATGGCCAGAGAATCCCTCCATAAAACAAAGAAAATACAAAATAAAATATAATAGATCCCCAGGTAACAAGATGATTGATCCATGTCCAAAAATGAGTTTCCAAAGCCATCTTTACTGTCACTGTAATAACCATGACTGTGAAGACCAAAGTGCCAAATGTCCAGTTTCCAAACATCTGGCCATTTCCAAGCAGAGATGTGTCTTCTCCCATTAGAAAATAGGATCCAAAAAAAGAAAATAAAGACATGACTGAAACCCAGGATGGTCCAATAAAGAAATGTTTTAATGCTTAAGAGACGATTTTTACTAACGTCTCTATAGATGGTAGGTTTGTTCTGTAATATATGAGGGTCTATATGCTGTTCCAAAAGACTATATATCAGAATAGGTAGGGAAGTAAAACAAATATTGTATAAAGTTAAATACACGCTGTCATACAGTGCTTGTTGAAAAAACAAACAGTAGAATTGATATAAAAACTGGGGTGTGATAAAACACACATTCTTATAAAAAAATACTATACAAGGGTTGCTATTCTAATATAATAAAAATGACCATGAACAAAAAGTAATTTGGAGAGAAATTTAAATCTAGCTATTGAATAGTCACTATTCCTTGCAGCCTGTCGTCCTTCTTTATCCATGATTCCTATTCCAACATTTGACTCTTGTATCATACTGACATCATTAGCACCATCCCCAACAGCCAGGGTAATAGGTTTCTCAGGGGAGATTTTTATTAGTCTTATTACATTTGCTTTCTGCAATGGCGCCATACGACAGCATAACACAGCTGAACAATTTCTGCAAACTTCCATGAATGGCTTTTCATGCTCCCTGTGTGCAAGAGACAGGCTGGTTCCATCCACTACTAGCCCGTGCTGAATTACATGATCCTCTGTAATTCTGGCAAGCTGCCGTAACTGCTCAGCACATTCACTGTCTGACTTCTGGTTTGTAAGCTCAAGGATGTTCATGGTTCTATGAAAATGTCCACATGATAAACTCACACTAACAGCTGTTTCATGTTTATCTCCAGTGAGCACCCACACTTTGATGCCAGCCATTCTCAATGCTTCAATAGTTTCTCAAACTTTATCTTGTAGTCTGTCTTCCACTGCTGTAGCTCCAAGTAATACCAAGTCTTTCTCTATAAACTGGAAGACATCTGCCAACTTCTCTTCCCGCTGCTGCAGGGCAGTCCTAGCTTCAAACAGGCATCTGTCTATTATGTCATATTCTTTTGGTGTAAATTTTCTATAGGCTAAACATAGAGTTCTTCGTCCTTTCAAAACAAATTCATCTACATAAATTCTCATTTTTCTGTTTCTCCTCCTATACATTTGGGGAGAATAGATGATTCAGCTCCCTTAGCAAATAAAAGCCTTTCACCTGAAGGTGCCTGAACAATTACACTCATTCTCCTACGATCTGAATCAAATTCCAGGATATGAAGCAGTTTGTACCTTTCCAGTTTTCCAAGGGTATTAACTTCCATAGTTTCTTCAGAATTGCCGACAAATACAACACCAATTTGTGCAGCAGCTTCCACTAGTGCCTTTTCATCTGGGGAAGAGGCATGGTACTGCACCTGGGATGGGGCCAGGCTGGACTGCCAGAGACCATCACCAATGCCATCGGTTTGAACACTGCTGATCTGCACCGTGTGACAGAGACTGACTGCTTTAAAGAAGAGATCATGTTCTTTAATCAGTTCAGCATCATTTTCAGGACTGGTTTGGAAAGAGGAACTGGTTCCAAGATCGGAAAAATTGTTAACATGAGATAAACTGCTAAGATAAGATAAATTTCCTTCTGGAGAATCTGGTGTTGGTCCTTCAGGTACAAGTCTACCGTTGATTTCTTGATATTTTGTGCCATTAATTGAACATTCTCGAAACTGCATCTCATTTTCTGTCAGTGTACCCGTTTTATCTGTAAACACGTATTCCACCTGTCCAAGCTCTTCATTGAGATCAGAAGTATTGACTTGAGCTTTCTGATCTGATTCTTCATGATAAAGATCAAGATCCCAACCAATAAAAAATGACCCAAGGAATTTCTGCATTTCAACCGTGACATATAATGAAATTGGAATGATGAAATTGTAGAGTACCAGAAAAGCAAGAAAGTCTGAAATAAATCTCAGAATCTTACTACTATTTCTCTGATGTTCTGTTTTTTGGTTATACCAAGGCTCATCCCATTTTTCTTCAGCTTGCCATGTATATTTCAAGATAGTGCTGATGATGGCTTCAGAAATAAGGATTATTAGATAAATGATCAAAAATATATTCATTGACTTTTCTACTGCAGATCGCTTCTGTGATTTGCTTTTGTAATTTAATGCCATTTTAGTTTCCATTCCAGTGTATACAGCA